GCCAGGGACACTGCTAAACATTCTACAATGCACAGGGCAGCCCCCGCAACCAGGAATGATCCAGCCCAAAGTGTCAGTAGTGCCAAGACCGAGAAACCCAGTCTGTGGCCAGCCATATGGAGGTCAGAAGGAACCCCACTAAGACTGCAGAGCTGGTAAGCGCGCCTGCAGCTTGTGGTGTGCAGCAGGAGGAACTGGCGACGTGCTCTGCGCAAAGCACTTCTCACCTAGGAGATGCTAGGAGAGAGCCTGGTCCCCGATGGGGACACAGCTCATCGATGAGACACCCTCTCCCTGGCCCAAGGCCCCCACTTCCCTACAGGATCTTGGGTTTTCAGGTTCAAAGACTCCAACTCCATCTGGAAGTCTGGAAAGGTCAAAACCTACATTGAACTAAGAGTAGGGCCAGGAGGGGAGGCCGGGAGGGGAGGCTGTGGAGGGCGAGGCTCAGGCCAGACTAGTTTGCAAGGCCACTGTAACAAAGTGCTACACGCCAAGTGGCTTAAACAACAGCGATTTACTATCCTTAGGTCAGAGATCAAGGCAGTGGCAGGGAAGGGTCTGTCTCGGGCCTCTCTCCTTAGCTTGTAGATGGCTGTCTTCTCCCTGTGTCTCTTCATGTCCCTGTCCTGCGCATATCTCTGCCCAAATTTGCCCTTTTAATAGGGACACTAGTCATGTTGAATTAAGGGCCCACCCTACCCCGGTATGACCTCATCCTCCCTTAACTGTTTACACCTGTAACAACCCTATTTCCAAATGAGGTCACCTTCTAAGGTACCAGAGGTTAGGACTTCAGCATATGAATTTCGGGGGTGGGGGACACAATTGGCCCCTAACGAGTGTGCATTCACCCAGCCAGGCAGCTGTTTGCCCACTTGTTCTCTTGGAGAGGTGAGGTGGGCGGGCAGGTGGTTAAGAGCCTGGGTTCTGGAACTCACAGCTCTGCATCTGAGCAGCTCGGCACTTCGCGGGAGCCGTGGGGAACTGACTGAACCCGTCTGAGTCCCCATCTGCAGGCCAGCGGTGACCGGAGCGCCCACTCACGAGCTGTGAGAAAACGCACCCCGAGCCCTTGACACTGTGCCCTGTGCGCTCACCGCCCCCCGTAAATGGCAGCTTCATTCAGCAGATGGCCCTGCTGTGTGCCAGCCAGGGTGGCATTTACAGGGAGCCTTGGAGGGTGTTTAGGAACCTCTCAGAGTGAGGGACAGCGAGTGCTCACAGAAGGACCCTGGGCTCACAGAGGGGCCCTGGGCAGGGCACAGGCATGCTCGCCTCGGTGGACGCTCAAGTGAGCTCGTGGGTCCGTGCAGTGGGGATCCCTGGCAGAGCGGACAGAAGGCGAAACTCCAGCGCTCTCTCCCCAGCTCCGCAGTGATCTGAGCTGAGGACGGCTGTCGCAGCCTGCCTCTCGCCTCTCGCCTCTCGCCTTGCTCACGCATTCGTCTGCGATGCTCTTCCTCCCTCACCTCTCTCGGACACCTCCTGCTCATCCTTTGGGACTCGATGCTGGTGCCACCTCTTCCAGGAAGCCTGCCTCTGGTGGCAGGGCTGGCTTAGGTGCCTCTCCATGCTCTGGCACTGTCCTGGTTAGGACAATCCGTGGGTGTCAGGAAACCTGGCCTTGCGTTGCTCTTTCTCCCTGTGGCACCGCTCAGTGCCTGCCACCTGGAAGGTGCTCAGCAAACGTGTGCGACTGGCCTGAACGCTCTGCGCTGGGCTCTGTGGCAGCCCGGAGCACCCTTCCCCACCCCTGCCCAGCTCAGCTCCAGCTCACCTGGCAGAGGGGCACAAGGGCTCCATTGTGAGCCAGAGTGGGCAGGCATGGGGGTGATGCTCTGGAGGGTGGGGCGGAGGCTGGGCCCAGACAGATGGAACCCAGACAAAGCCCTCTTTAAGCGGGGATCACGGCAGCTGTGCTGACAATGTGCTGATGCCTGAGCCCAGATAGCAAAGGCACCAAATGCCCAGGGTGTCTCAAACTTGGCAGTGTCTAGAGGTCGAGTGAAGGTCACAGGTGAGGGATGGGTGTTGGTGCATGTTGCTCACCCTCCCCAGCACTGAAGGCCCCCAGAAGGCACCCCTCAGGCCACCAGCCCTGTCCGTGTCCACAAGAACACTGGCATCAAGGTGAGAGCTGGTGCGGCTGGTCGGGTTCCTGTTGCGTCCCATGGGGACCACGCTGGGGGACTCAGAGCCAGGTTTTATCTTCACCTGGGCCTGAAACTAGAGCAGGGCTCAGGCTGCTGGGGCCTGGGACAGGGACCAGATCCTGGAAGAGCCTTAGAGGGCATTGGGCCTAGGCCCCGAGGAGGTGGCCAGTGGCTGGGGATGGGTGGCTCATGTAGCAGTGCAGGCCCAGACTCCCTCCATTGAGAATCCCATAAGGGCCCTGGCCGGATGCCCGAGGGTCTTAGGCCAGGTTTGATGCAACGAGCACAGGTGCGCACCTGCCCCAGGAGTCCAGGTAGCGAAGGAAGGGCTTCGACCCCAGAGCCTGCCTACAGTGCTGAGGGGAGTCCAGTGGCAGTCCCGAGGATGTCGTCCTCCTCCTAGAACTGGGCCTCCTAAACCCTCGAGCTCAACAGGGATAGACCCAGAGGGACCTGCTACGCAGCTCCGGAGCACCCGCACAGGTCCTGGCCACCTGCTGCTCCCCGCCAGCCTCCCCCGCCCCTGAGCGGCTGCACCTCATGCCTTGGTCTGTTCCTCAGCCCTTTTGGGGGCTGTCAGCAGCCCCAGCTCCCCTGCTGACCCAGGAAGGGAACGCAGCCACCGTCTCTGCTGCTTTGGGCGGCCTGTGACCGCCGTGCTCCTCGGTGCCCTGCCTCGGTTAGGGCCAGTTTCCCTCCTTGGCCAGCATCTCACCACTCGCGTCAAATCAGGCAGGGCCAGTGTGCACAGTGGGTGTTGGGGCCTCACTGGGACCGTGGGCACTGCTGAGGGACAGGGCAGGAACCCCCAATCCCACCCTCCAAGGCCCCCTGTGGCAGGGTTTGGGGGGGCGCGTGAGAGGCAGTTTAGGAGGGTGGACAGGGCGCCAGCCTGGGATCCAGACTGCCGGACCCGGATCCTGGCTCTGCCATTTCCTGGCAATGTGACTTTGTGCCTTGATTTCCCCGTGTGAGAAAAATAACCAGGACTGCTCAAGTTAAAGTGCACAGGAGGTGAGCTGTTGTTGTTTCGCTCTGGGAGGAGGGGCTGGCAGTGGAGGCTGCCCAGGTCCCTCCCACCAGAAGAGGAAGGGGCTGGTGAAGCGCCTGTGCCAGCCGAGGCCACCCGTCTGGCACTCCACGCAGCACCCACGGCCCCGGGGGGCATCCTCCCCCTCATTAGGAGGGCGCCCTGCAGCGGCTGATGTTCCCCTGGCTGTCTGGAGCCAGCCAGGACCCCAGGGAGCCCAGGCGCTCCCAGGCACAGAGCCCAGCACTTAGAGGTGCCAGCCACCTCTCAGGGGCACCTGCCTGATGCAGCGAGAGGGACAGGGACCCGCCCTGATGGCTCGGCTCCAAAGGGGCCTCTGGCAGGTGCAGGACCCATTGAATCCTGGTGACGTTCTCCACGGGGAGGGTGAGGTTGCTGCCCTCGACTTGATGACAGAGTCGTGGGTACCAGGACAGGCGACTTCCCATCCCCTGCCTCCACTTAGCGTCCTGGATGAAGGCCGTCGTGCACTCGGCACGTGCTGGCCCTGTGCCCCAGCACATTTCGCATTGCCTCGCGGGCCTTCACAGCCCAGCAGGTAGATCGTGCTGCTGTCCCACCGGACAGAGGAGGAGAATGACATTCAGGCAGGCTAGGGCGCTTGCGCGAGGAACCTCCACCAATAAGGGGCAGCATAGGGGTTCAGCACCTGCCCAAGTCCTGGTCCCTCATCCTAAATCCCCTAAACCCAAGCCCTCCCATGCATTGTCTTCCATCATTTCTACGGGTCTGGTGCTGACTCTGTCCCCACCCCTACCCTAGCCAGGACCCCCAGCGAGGATCCAGCACCTTCCTCTGCATCTCCGCACAGAGCCTGGGGCGAGGCTCAGCTCACTGAGGACACTGGGGCAGAGGGAGGGCAGAGTGGAACAGGCCCAGAGGCTGTTCTGGAAAATGGGTCCCTCCATCACCCCTGGAGCAAGAGAAGAACCTGGCCAGGCCCCTTCTGAGTTTCAACACGCACACACCCCGAGCACAGCCTCACCCGCCTGTGAGCCGGGGAGAGTCCCAGCCAGGACTGGCCTACCGTGCCCCGTGCTAGCTGCCAGCCCAGGGCCCCTCGGCTCCCCTCACCACCCCCGGCCCAGGCTCAAGGCTGCAGAGGGCCAATGGTGAGGTCACCTCTAAGCCCCTCAGCCATGGTAGTCTGCCCGAGGGCTGAGGGCGGGGCAGGAGGGTCCCGGAGCCCCATAGCATTAGTGAAGTGGTGGAGTCTGTGGGCTTTGGACCCAGATCTGGGGTTTGTGCCCAGGTTCCTCCACTTGCCAACGTGTGCCCTGGGGCGAGCTACTCCCCCCGACTGTAACGGGGCAGCAATACTTGGCCCTCCTGTCTGGCACTGTGGAGGGGCTGGACGACACTGTACGTGGAGCGCTTGAAGCAGGTCCCAATACAAAGTAAACTCTCCCTCCGTGCCAGCAGCAGTCGTTGTTGCCCCTTTGGTAGAGGTGCCATGGGCCGTGGCGTTGCAGCTAGGGGCAGGGCCCCAGATCTGGGGCTCCCGGCTCCCCTAGGACTGTGCCGGCCTCGCAGGGGCAGTTGTGTGTTGTCAGGGAGGCTTCCGCCTTTGGGTGTCTGAGGCCAGGCATCCGGACTTGGTGCCTGGAGAGCCTAGGAGGGACAGGAGCAGGCCCAGGGCCCTGGCATCGGGCCCCTCCCATCCCTTGCCCACGTCCTGAAGTGGGGCAGGGTGAGGCCAGAGCCCAGACGGGCTTTGTTAACTCCTGAGGGTTGGCCACATGTGGGCCTGGGCATCCCAGGTGACTGCGGCCTCCGCTTGGGAACCTTTGCAGATGGTGGTTCTCATGGACCCAATGGAGGACCCTGACGACATCCTGCGGGCACATCGCTCCCGGGAAAAGTCCTACCTGTTTGATGTGGCCTTTGACTTCACTGCCACCCAGGTGAGGGAGGGCCTAGGCGCACACCTGGCCTCCTGTCCTGCATGGATACACTTGCGTTGCGCTGAGACGCCACCCTCCGTGGTGGGGAGCTGGAGCAAGGAGCTTGAGGCCCATCTGGTGCCGGGAGGGCGGGCGCAGGACAGCTGCGGGGAAGCTGACACCCTCCTAGGGACCCCATCTTGCCCACCTGCAGGACGCTCCCAGGAACAGACGTGATGCGTCCCCAGGGCAGGGGGCCAGGAGCCAGCTGTAGGGGGAGGCATCTCAGGTGTCCTGGGCTCTCTCCCAGGCTGGTGTCCCCCACCGTGGGGTGTAAGTGGAGACATCCCCTCCCCCATTCTCCACTCCCACTCCTCTTGGGCCTGGGGCTCCAGGGACTGAAACGTCTCCTATCCGGGAACAGGACGTGCCAGTGAGGGTCTGTGCTCTGCTCTGCTTGTGTCCCGGGCCCCCGACAGCTCTCCCCTTCCCTGCAGGAGATGGTGTATCAGGCCACCACCAAGAGCCTCATTGAAGGTGTCATCTCGGGCTACAATGCTACTGTCTTTGCCTATGGCCCCACAGGTGAGGGGGAAGCCCAGAACGTGGGCGAGGACTGTAACACCCCTGCTGTCCCCCTCAAAGGCCGAGCCCCATCCCTTCCATCAGAGAGTTGGTCTGGGCTCAGCTGGGATGCGGCTGATCCAAACCCCTGCAGGGCCCTCCAGCCCCAAAAGCCCCATTTGGAGCCAAAGCTGTTGTCCTCCCTGCCCCCACCACCATCTGGGAGGGCCCAACCTTGGGGACAGACCCAGGTCTGCCAGGAGCGCCTGCCCAGTGAGGCCTCACTCCTGGCTCCCACCCACACCTTGTTCTACCCCAGGCTGCGGGAAAACCTACACCATGCTGGGCACAGACCACGAGCCCGGCATCTACGTTCGGACCCTCAATGACCTCTTCCATGCCATTGAGGAGACCAGCAATGACATGGAATATGAGGTGTCCATGTCCTACCTGGAGGTGAGCCCCCCACCCAGGCGCGGCGAAGAGGCACACTGGATGGAGCTGGCCCACTCCCCAGGGCCAGTCACCAGGCATCTTGCTGGGGTGCTCACCACTGCTGCTCTCCCACACGTACATCATGAGCCCCACTTTACAAAAACCTAAGGCTCATCAGAGAGGTTAGGCCACTAGGTCAACGTCACACAGTAAGTGAGGGACCCGAGACTCAGACTCAGGACTCCGTGGCTTCAAAGCCAGGCCCCGCCCAGTGTGCCACACTCCAGAGTGGCCTTGCCAGGAAGCACAAGGCTCAGCCACCCTGCCAGATGGCTCGCAACCTCGCCACGCTGAGGGGCCTGTTCCTTGGAGCAGACCCTGTCTGCCCTGCCAGGCTCCCTCCAGGACTCCACGCATGTGGGCACAGGTGAAAACTGCACATACATGTACGGGCTGGACCCTGTGGGCTTTCCCACCCAGCCACAGCCTCCTAGTGCCCACCTGGCAGGGTGTGGGGGAGCACACAGAGGCCAGAAGAGGCAGGAGAGCCACGGGCTGGACCCCATCCCCTCTAGGAGCCGGCAGCAGTCTCCCGGGCGACGGCTGGGGGAGGCAGTGAGGCGGAGCTGCCAGCGGCAGGGGGCTGCCCTGCCGGAGTGGTGTTGACTCGCCAGCAAGACTCCCTTTGTGTGTGTGTGTTGGGGGGGTGCGCCCTAGAAGTAGCATGAGGGTTGCCTAGCAACAAACAGGGCCCCCCACCTGGCATGGGAAGGGGGTTCCGGCCATCAGTCGGGTCCAAGCTCTGGCCAGTGCCTGCCTGTCCATACAGGGAGTCCCACTTGGTTCTGAAGCCACCTGTGACCCTGGCTCTGGCAGCCCAATGTTCCCTGTGGGTGCTGAAGCCCCACACCCACCCCCATAGAAAGGAAGGGACCTTTCCCCCAATCGGGGCTCCTCTAAGAGGGGCCTAGGGCCCAGAAGGTGCTAGCTCCCGTTCTCTTTATGCTCAGGAGGGAGGGGACCTGGCCCCGGGCTGGACCCGCCCTCAGTCTCCCTCCCTGCCCTCACTGGTCCCATCAGATCTACAACGAGATGATCCGGGACCTGCTGAACCCCGCCCTAGGGTACCTGGAGCTGAGGGAGGATGCCAAAGGGGTGATCCAGGTGGCAGGAATTACCGAGGTCTCCACCATCAATGCCAAAGAGGTGAGTTTCGTGCAGCCAGCCATGGAGGGGTCAGGACTGGAGCCAGGGAGACGCTGCCCACTCAGCTGGGGCTGGGGCTGGGCCTGGGACAGAACATCCTGAGTGGCAGCAGGAGGGGCATTTACACCTGCCACTGTGCCCCCACCACGCTGACCCTGGGAGAGTGACCAGGCAGCACATCCCTCTGTGTACACAGACACCCTGACCTCAGAGCACGGAGGCCACTCCCCAGGCCTCTCAGCCCACAGAGCCCACCCCAGCCTGCCCCTTCCCAACCTCTCAGAGGCAGAACCCTCCCCTCCAGCCCCTGGGGCTCCTTCCTTCTGCTGGAGCGTCTGCAAGGGGTCCCCAAGAGCTGCGTCCCCTCCCTCCCTCCCTCCCTCCCAGATCATGCAGCTGCTGATGAAGGGAAACCGGCAGAGGACCCAGGAGCCCACGGCCGCCAACCAGACGTCCTCCCGCTCCCACGCCGTGCTGCAGGTGGCCGTGCGCCAGCGCAGCCGGGTCAAGAACATCTTGCAGGAGGTGCGGCAGGGCCGCCTGTTCATGATAGACCTGGCCGGCTCTGAGCGCGCCTCCCAGGTGAGGCTGGTCCCCAGGGCAAGGAGGGAGGGCAGGGATGATGCTCCCCATCGACAATCACATCAGCCAAGCAGAGGAGAAGGGCCCCGTCACCCATTTCTGGAAGCATCTTTGTCCCCCACCACTAGTGCCTGCTTGCCCAGCTCTGAGGCCATGTGAAGCAGCACCCCAGCAGGTGTGGGCTCGGGCTCCTTCCTGCATGCAAACTTGGCGGTTTTATGGTCACCTGAGCAAGGAGGCTGGGTGATGTCACTGTGGTTAGCACTGGTGCAAATGCAAGGCAAAGGACAGCACCGGACAGAATGAACAGCCTTTCATGTTCAAACTCGTGGAGCTGGGTTTGAACAGGGCAGGGTTCAAGAAATTATCCCTCTCTTCCTGTAAAGCCCCAAGGGCTTCCTGGAAGGGGCACGGAGGAGTGGCATGGGAAGAGACGGTGTGCCCTCCAGCCACTGGAGCCAGCTGGTCCCAGCATTACCGGGCTGGGCAGAGTGGACCACAGCCTCCCTCCCATCTCATCATGGCCCCGTGTGACAGGCCATGCCACGGCGCCTGCTCTGGGGGCCCAAGCTCCAGCCATCTCAGCCCTCGGCAGCCTCCAGCCCACCACTCTGGTGCAGAGGCCTCCTCATCCTCCTTCTCCAGGGACCTCGGTGACCCTGCAGGAGGGCAGGACAAGGCCCTCTTGTCAAGTTATTGCTACCTTCCAGGGCCCTGAGGGAGAGAGAGGAGTCTATAGCCCAGGATCACCGGGGCATTGGTGGGGCGGCTGGGGCAAAACCCAGTCTCCTGCCCTGGTGGGGCACAGTGATGCCCTTCGCTCGCCCCCCAGACACAGAACCGTGGGCAGCGCATGAAGGAGGGGGCCCACATCAACCGCTCCCTGCTGGCCCTGGGCAACTGCATCAACGCGCTCAGCGACAAGGGCAGCAACAAGTACATCAACTACCGCGACAGCAAGCTCACCCGGCTTCTGAAGGTACCAGACTTAACGAATAAAAACAGGACACACAGCTAAATATAAATGTCAAATACAGCAAAATTTGTTTGAGTATAAGTATGTCCCATGCAGTATTTAGGATATACTTATACTACAAAAATTATTCGTTGTGTATCTGAAATTCAAATTTAACTGGGTATCCTGTATTTTACCTGGCAACCCTAACCCAAGGGCAGGCAGCAGGAGGGAAAGAAGCTGTATCTGAGGCCCCCCCACCCCCAAGTGAGCACAAAGAGGTTAAGTAACTTTCCCAAGGGCTCAGCTGGTAAGTTCTGGATGTAGGATCCAAATAGAGGTCTCCCTGGTCTAATCTCGTAGCCACCGTTTACTGCCATCAGCCACCATCATCTCTGTACCCACAGCAGGGAGGTGGAACATCTGCAAAATGATGGTCATCTTATAAGGGAAAGAAGCTGAGGATCACAGGGGAAGGCGCTGCTTAAGGTCACACAGGTGGCTGTTGCTGGAGCCGGGGCTTCCTCTGCCTCACTCCGTGTGACTTTGTTCGTGTGAGAGAGAAAGGGCAGGGAGGGAGAGAACACACATGCCAAGGAGAGTGTCCAGGACAGCCTGGCAGGAGGAAGGCCTGGGGAGGTGGTCCCGGCTGACCTCAGCCCCCCATCCAGGACTCCCTGGGAGGGAACAGCCGCACCGTGATGATCGCCCACATCAGTCCGGCGAGCACCGCCTTCGAGGAATCCCGGAACACCCTGACCTACGCTGGCCGGGCCAAGAACATTAAGACTAGGGTGAGGGCACCTGGCCTGTCCCCCAGGGCACGCCTTCCTGGGCCAATATCCAGGCCCCTGGGCCCATCCCTGCCCCACCCCTCCCCATGCTCTCTGGAACCAGTCAGCGCTGCACCGGCCCCACTGCCCAGCCCCATGTGACCTGTGCCCTTCCCTGCACCTGCTTGTCCACCCAGAAGCCCACAGCTCCCGAGGGTCCCAACTTCCTCTGTTGCAGGTCTCTGTACCCCTTCACCCCCTTCCTCTCCCTCATTCAGACCTTTGGGTTTTCAAAGCATCTCGCCCCGCCAGCCACCGCGAGAGGCAGCCTTGACTGAGCACTGGCTCTCAGCCCTCCAATTATCTCATTTATTATCTCTTTGCCATCTCATTTGATCCTCAAAATCAGGCAGGTGCTATCGCTGCCCCCATTGTACAGGTTGGGACAACGAGGCTTAGGGAGGTGAAGTGACTCCCCAGCTGGTCAGTGATGGCACTGAGACTGGGCCTGGGTCTGCCCGGCTTCCAGGTCCATGTCCCTACCGCTCTGTGGGCCTGTTGGAACCCCTGTCTTGTCTAGTCAGAAATCCGTCTCGACCTGTTCGCGTGCAGAGGGGCGGGAATGGATAAATGGGAGAGAGCATGCAGTGAACATTCCTCCAACACATAACATTTTCCAGCCAGGATCCTGGTGCTTTAAGTTTTATTCCAACCCTCAAGGAACTTAATGGGAGAGAGGAGACATCTTCTTGAGATAGCTCATTGATAGTTCAGAACATTGTTAGTAGCAGGTAAATTATGCCAGCGGTGGGTGCTGAGACAAGTTGGGGAATGGGGAGGTGGGGGTGGGCTGGTGGGATTCAGTGGAGCTCTTTGGGGACAGTGAGTGGGACCCTGAAGGATGGGAGGACATTCCAGAAGGGTGAGAGCGGGAAGGGAGAGGCGCTAAAGGCAGGAAGGGGATGATGTCTGTCGTGGGTGTGGGGAGAGCAGGATGGTTCTTCCACCAGAGCAGGTGTTCGCGTGGGAGCAGTGAGTCAACAGAAAATCGAAGAGATAGTGGAGGGCCTTCACCACCAAGTGAAGGAATTAGGCGTTCCCCCAGGCAGCAGGGAGCCACCGAAGGTTGCTGAGCAGGAGAAGCAGCACTTTAGGAGTGTGGACCTAGCAGAGGCATGGAGGTGTGATAGGAAGCTGTGGGTTTGGAGGCCAGGAGGACATTGCTGCCATCCAGAAAGGCTGGGGGAGGCAGGGAAGAATGAAAGGACGGCCCCGCAGGCCAGCCTCAGTGAGTACACGGAGGCGGCCCGGTGCCTGGGGTGACTGTGCCCCCTCGGGCCCCATCCGTGCCCCACAGGTGAAGCAGAACCTGCTCAGCGTCTCCTACCACATCGCCCAGTACACCAGCATCATCGCTGACCTGCGGGGCGAGATCCAGCGGCTCAAGTGCAAGATCGAGGAGCAGGCAGGGCGGGGCCAGGCCCGGAGCCGGCTGGTGCGGGGTGACATCCGCCACATCCAAGGTGTGCGTGGGAGCCCATCTCCGGCAGCCCTCTGCCAGTCGGTCTCACGTTGCTCTGGGGTCAGACCGTGCTGGGTTCAGATCCAGACTCCAGCTCTTTCTGGCTGGGTGGCCTCGGGCTGGGCACTCACCTGCCCTGAGCCTTCTGGCCTTCAACTGTGAAACGGGATGATCTCTGCTTTGGAGGGCTGCCATGAAGATCAGGTGGGCTCGCATGAGTGAGGCAGGTGGGTCACTCTGGGCGCTGCAGAGCAGGGCGGCTGTGCGCCACCACGCAGAGAGCCTCCCCTCCCTCGGAGACTTGCGCGTTTACTGTGATGGTTTCCCAACAGATGGCAGTAAAGCTTCCAAGGGGCGCCTCTTTATAGCTGGCGTGAAGGTGCTGTAAGGGCTAGCTCCAAGTTCACACACAGGAGCTAGGAATCACCTTTGGGCAGCAGCCTACAGACCCAGTGTGGTCATGGGTGTGGGAGGAGGCAGTCAGCTAGGAGGTCTTCCTGGAGGAGGAAGTGGTTGGACAGGAATTGGAAGCAGCGGGTTGGGAAGAAAGAGAGGAGAGAGCCCCAGGTGAGCCCAGACTGAGCCTGCCCCCGCCACTGACCTCTCCCATCCCCACCCCCTGGGCAGCCGAGGTCCAGATGCACAGCGGGCAGGGCGAGCAGGCCGAGATGGGACAGCTTCGGGAGCAGCTCATCGGCGCATTTCAGGAGCAGATGGACGTGCGGCGGCGCCTGCTGGAGCTGGAGAACCACTCCATGGAGGTCCAGATCGACACCTCCCGGCATCTGCTCACCATCGCCGGGTACGCACCCCCTGCCGTGGGACCCTGCAGGTCACACCGTGGTCCGGGGGCAGAGCAGCGGGAGTTGCGGTGCACGCCGTGCCCTGCCCCCACGGCCTGAATCCCATGTCTCCCCGGGTGGGGCTGCCGCAGCTGGGAGCACGAGAAGTCCCGCCGGGCCCTCAAATGGCGGGAGGAGCAGCGGAAGGAATCCTACACCAAGGACGACAGCGAGAAGGACTCTGACACAGGCGATGACCAGCCAGACATCCTGGAGCCGCCCGAGGTGGCGGCAGCCCGGGAGAGCATCGCAGCCCTGGCGGGCGAGCAGAAGAACCTGCGCAGGCAGAAGGTGTGCAGGGTTCTGGGGTTGGGAGAGCGGGTGTGAGAGAGGAGGCAGAGGGGCTGGGGGAGGGGCGCGTAGTGAGACCTGGGAGCTCAGGCTGCAAATCCTGTGTGACCTTGCTAAGTTCTTTAACCTCTCTGTGCCTCACACTCCTCATCTGTAAATAGGGAGCAGTTAAGGTACAGACCTCCTGGGGTTGTTGGGAAGACTAAATAAATGCCTGGTACATACCAAGGACTCAAGGAATGGCAGCTGGTGGTATAATCAGAGTTTTCCAGATGACATCCTTGCCTTCTGTTCTGGGGCATAACCAAGCCAGGGGGGCTTCAGGGTATGGCGAGTCCTGAGGGCTCGGATAGGCTGGGGTTAAGCAGCTGTCCACAGAGCTGGTTCCAGGGGCGGATTGTGGTCAGTCCCCAAGATAGTAGGCACAGAGGGGCCACCTTGGAGCAGCCCACGGTCGCAAGGCCCAAGATGCATCTTAGAGGCTTGAGCACCAGCTCGATGCCGATGCCAGGAGTCCAGGGGCTGGAAGGGCGAGGGCCCGGGCTCTTCGCAGCTGCCTGGTGGTGACCCCACGTCTCCCGCAGCTGGCGCTGGAGCAGCGCTGCCGGGAGCTGCGCGCGCGCGGCCGGCGCCTGGAGGAGACGCTGCCGCGGCGCATTGGCTCCGAGGAGCAGCGCGAGGTGCTCAGCCTGCTGTGCCGCGTACACGAGCTCGAGGTGGAGAACACCGAGCTGCAGTCGCACGCGCTGCTTCGCGACGGTGCACTCCGCCACCGCCGGGAGGCCGTGCGCCGCCTGGAGCAGCACCGCAGCCTCTGCGACGAGATCATCCAGGGCCAGCGGCAGGTCATCGACGGTAGGGTCTGCGCCCTGCGCGTCCAAGCCACCTGCGGAGGGCCCGCGGGCACACGCTTAGCCCTCCCCCTCCCCCGGCAGACTACAACCTGGCTGTCCCCCAACACCTGGAGGAGCTCTACGAAGTGTACCTGCGGGAGCTGGAGGAGGGCAGCCTGGAGCGGGCCACCATCATGGACCGCGTGGCCTCCAGGGCCTTGCAGGTAGGCGCCTGGACCTGAGCATATGTGCCAAGGGAGGAGCAGCCAGGATGGGAGTGGGACCAAGTTGGACAGCCCCTCAGGGAGGTGATTTCCTTCCCTTCTTACCCCACCCAAAGCCTTGCCAAGCCTAAGTAAGACTTCCATCCCCGGGCATTCCTCTCTGTCACTTGTCCCCACCCAAAGTCTGAGGGTCAGGGTTGGCCATCTGAGATATCACAAATGACCCCAGATGCCCTCCCAGGAGTCCAGGCCACCAGGCAATGCCACTAGGGGATGCCCAGCAGACCACAGCTTACCCCTGGGAGCCCACTGCCCTTCTGGGGCTGCCAGCCCATGTGACAGCTCTTTCCCCCTGTGCTGCTACTTGGTCCAGGACCAACTCTGACTGTCCACCCCTACTCCCCCTCCCAGGACAGCTCTTTGCCCAAGATTACCCCAGCAGGAACCGCACTGACCCCAGATTCTGACCCAGAGAGCGTGAAGACACTGAGCTCTGACACTCAGCACCCACAGAACAGCACCCTCCCCACCCTCGGCACGGAGAGGTGAGACCAGGGACCACCTGCCCCAGCCATCATGCTGTGCCCTGTCCCAGGGAGGCCAACCTGGATCAGGCCTAAATGGGGAAGACGGAGCCAGAATGAAAGGGAGAAGGTGGCACAGTCTAGAGCCAGGACTCCTGGGTTCTCTATCCCTCCACACCAGCTTCTCCCTGGGGTTGGGGTGGGACCTCGGTGGGACCAGCCTGGTCAACAGCCACCCATCCTCCTCTGCCAACCTCAGTGAAGCCCACCGCGTGTTCAAGGCCAGTCCCAGAGCTTGGCAGATGAAGAGCTCCTCTGTGCCCACCCCACCTCCCATCCAGATTGGCAGCCTGGTGAGCCAGGAGGTGAGCTGTGAGCACCCACTGGCCCCCAGAGCGCCCCTGCTGGGGGTGGGGGCACAGGGGCGGACATGCAGCAGTCAGGAGGAAGCCTTTCCTAAATGGCCACCACCCCTGAACCCCCGCTTCCTCTGCTGAGTGGGGCATGGGGTCCCTGCTGTGTTGGAGGGTTCCCTCCTCCCAACCACTTTGCCCCGCAGGCCCCCGCTCTGGACAGCCTGGGCAGCCGGATCAACTCTTCCCCTGACAGCAGCGAGAATCTGTCGGAGATCCCCTTGTCCCACAAAGGTGTGTGTGCCCCTGCCCAGCCTGCCAGCCCCTGCCTAGCCTGCCAGCCCCTGCCTGGCCTCATCTAAACTGCTCAGATCACCCAGCCCTAAGCCCCTCTTGCCCTCTGTTCTGCCAAGTGCACCCAGGCATTGGGTGCTACCTATTCTATAGAGGCCCCAGTGCCCCCCGAGGACTAGCCACTTGCTCAAGGACACACAGAGAGCTGGGAGCACAACCAGAAATTAGAATGGGGAACACAAGGCACTTATAATCATGCCTTTTCATTGTAATAGCAACTGTCAACTGCATGCCTGCCCCCTGGACACTGCAGTTTAAGCCCATTATCTCCATTAATCCTGAAATAAAACTATGGGGTTAGTTTTACCATCCCTTGTTTACAGGCGGAAGTGAGGCTCACAAAAGTGTCCCAAGTTTCTTACACAGCAAGTCACTGGGGGTGCTGGGATTGAAACCCAGGCGGTCTGGCTGCCGCCCATGTCTGCCATGCAGAGGAGGGTGCTGGGAGGCGGCCTTGATCTGGGGTTGGGCGCTCCCTGTGTTCCGCTGCAGAGAGGAAGGAGATCCTGACCGGCACCAAGTGCATCTCAGTGAAGGCCGCCCGGCGGCGCTCTCGGGCCCTGGCCCCTGAGGGGCGCCACCTGCTGGTGCCCGCGACAGAGCGCAGCAGCCTGTCCCTGGGCTCGCTGAGTGAGGCTGAAGATGTGCAGCCCCCAGGGCAGCTGGCCTGCAAGCGGCCACCCAGCCCCATGCTGCAGCATGCTGCCAGCGAGGACAACCTGTCCAGCAGCACGGGCGAGGCCCCACCCCTGGCGGCTGGGCATCGCGGTGATGGCCCTGGGCCCTGGCTGCGTGGCCTGAAGAAAAGCCCCGGCAAGAAGAGGGAGGAGTCGCTGGAGGCGAAGAGGAGGAAGCGGAGGTCCCGGTCCTTCGAGGTCACAGGGCAAGGGGTGAGGCTAGGGGCAGGGGGTGGGGTGTCTGGGCCCCTTCAGATGGGGCCCTGAAGGTCAGATTCCTCCAGAGGCCCCCAAGGCACCTCTGGCCTGCACCACACCCAGAGGCACCCCCCGCCATAAAGCCTCTGTCCCCCGGCTGGCATAGTAGCTGGGGCAGATCCCGGTGGCAGATCCCCGCCTCACCGCACTGTTCAACCAACACAGCTCTCCCGCCCCAAGACACACCTCCAGGGGCCCCGTCCTGCAGGGAGCATCTCAGACCACAGGATGCACCCAGCTCCCGGTACCCAGCATCTGCGAAAGGTCACGCTGCCTTTGGCCAAAGTCAAACTCTCTCCAAGCCAGAACACGGGTCAGTACCGGCAAGGGAGGGAAGGGGGAGGGAGAGGCCTTGGCCACCCCTTGCTGGAGGCATGGTTCTCGCACACAATACTCGTGGGACTGGCATCTTTGGGGTGCGCTCCTAAGGAGTTCAAGGCCACTGGGTGATAGGAGGGGATGGGAAGGCATTCCTAAACCACTGATCTTGGCCCTGCCTCTGTTGTAGGCTCTGGGGACCCCTCGCCCCTTGCTGTTCCCCCCAACCCAGCTGGCATTTCCCGACGGGCTACTCGTGGGCCCCGCCTGCTCCATGGCGCAAGCACCCATGGCAGAGATGGACGCTTCCGGCATAACTGAGGGGCTCTGCGTGGAACTGGCTCTCCTGCCACCCAAGACTGAATGGGGTGTAGCAGGCCATTGGAGGCGGAGGCTGGACAGGTGGCGATGACCAGGGAGCAGAAGCTCAGGATCTTGGCAGGCCGGGGCTCCTGAACCCAGGGATTGCAGGGGTGTCTGCCCAACCTGTCCACGCTTTCAGTGCCACTGGGGAAGGGAGGTGAGGCCAGGAGGCATGTCCAGAATGCCTGGGCTCCCTGGCCTCCCAGCCCTGGACAGACCGCTGTTGCCAAAACCCTACGCAGACCTGTGGCCAGTCTCGGCCTTGGAAATGGGGGAGAGGAACTGTTATGGAGATGGGGTACCTGGCCCACCTCTGGGGCGAGGGCATCCTGGATGGGTGGGCAGGGGCCGACGGGCATTTCTCATATTATGATCGGGGGTAGGGGGAGGGAATCTGTTTTGTTACTTGGCAGTGGCTCCCCCCCCTTCCTTTTTAACAGTAAAATCCCATTTGGGTCTTGATGGTTGTGTTGGAAACTAGACCTTGTCTGGAATGTGGAGCGGCCGTGACTGATTAAGATTCAACCAACTCCCGTCCCCTCCACCCGCTCTGCCCCCACACACCTCCCTCTTCCCCGCTGGCTGTGTAGCACCAACCCGCCAGCCCCTGCGGAAAGGGGTTTTCTCCAGACCTGAAGCCCTTCCCAGGGTGCAGCTAGCAAGGTCCTTTCATGCCCCCATCCCGCCAGCCTTCACACCTGCCCAGGTCCCCTCCTAGGAGGATCAGGGACTGGGGGTGGCCCAGAGTGCAGAAAGCCTCACAGCCCAGACGAGGTGCTTGCCCCCTGGAGGTCGGGACTCAGAAACTGCCCAGCCAGGCCCCTCAGCTTCTGGGTGCGAAAACTCTGCAAGGAGGACTGGGGTGCCCCGGGCTGGCCAGGTGCTCTGACCTGCCCTGCACCATGTCTGTGGCACCATGTCTGCACCAAGCCCTAGCTCTCAGGGAATAGCTCAGCGAGGGGCACAGGAGACCCCCGGCTTGTGGGACTTTCCCTGGGCTGTTTACACCCAGGGACTGGCGGTTCAAGCACCCCCTCAGCAATCTGAGCTTCGGTTTATTCTGGACCAAGAGAAGAGGGTTGCCTTCAAGTCAGCTGTGAAATCAGCTGCAGACACCAGGCCTGTCGTCTACCACCCCTCGCCTGATTCCGCCCAGCCCCAAGGCCACCAGCACCTGGCCCCCCGGAGCCCAGCTTGTAGCCACCTCCGCCTTGCCCTTCCCAGGTCCCCGGGGCCATCCAGGCCTTCCCAATTCGGAGGCTACTTGGGGGTCCGGATGAGGGTGTGGTAGACGGGCTTGACGATGAGGTGCAGGTGCAGGGCGTTCTCCACCAGGTACTCGGAGTTGCGCCGCTGCAGGTCGGCGTGCACCAGGAAGTCGCCGGCCTCCTCGCTGCTCTGGTGGAAGCTGTAGGCGTGGCGGACAAGTAGGCGGCCCTGCTGGCGAGCGCCCACCAGCACGGTCTTCTGGAAGCTCACGCCCGCCGCGTCGCCGCCGCTGCTGGCCGGCGTGACCACGAGCCGCGGCCGGCCGTCCTCGGGGCGCGCGGCGGGCAGCGCGGTGCCCGCGGCGTCTGCGTAGACGGGCCGCAGGCTGACGGGCAGCCAGCGCGGCGAGAAGAGCACGTTCCACGTGACCCGGCGGCCCGCGTCGTGGCCGCTCGGTCCCAGCTGCGTCTGGAAGCTGGTGCTGCGGTCGTCGCGGGCTGGGTTGTTGATGACCCACGGGGCGCCCCAGGCGGGCGCGAGGTAGTTGCGGGGCAGAAAGGCGCTGCCGTTGACGTCGAAGAACTTGGCGTAGTGCAGCGGCGAGGCGGCGTGGAACTGGTAGGCCTGCAGCAGCAGGTCGGCCACCGCCGGGCCATGGCGCGCCAGGGCCGCCGAGCGTGCCTGCAGCTGGAACAGCTGGGCCGGCGGGATCATCGGGTAGCGGATGGCCCGCAGCGCGCGCTCGGCCACGGCGGGGGGCGGCCGCGCGCGGCCCAGCCAGGCCTCCAGCGCGTGGAACAGCTCCAGCTCGTCCTGCAGCACCAGGTCCGAGCGCTGCAGCAGCTGCGCCAGCAGCTCGGGGCTCACGGCGCCCCACTCGGCGCTGGCCGCCACCGCCGACAGGTTCCAGGCCAGGAACTGCAGGCAGCTCTCGCGCAGGGCCTCGTCCCCGGTGCTCACGGCGTAGTGGTACCAGCCCACGGCCGGGCCCGCGCCGCCCGCCAGGTGCGCGCGCATGTAGTCGGCCACGCCGCGCTGCAGGGAGGCCACGCCGTACTTGGTGGCCAGCCTGTGCAGGGGGATGGCCTGGGCCAGCAGCACGGTCAGCTCCCCGCAGTACAGGTACCTGCGGGAGAGGCCGAGAGGGGGCGCGGGGTCAAGACAGGATCAGGCGGTAGCCACCCCCCAGCGCCACTTTCTCTGAGTCCAGAGGGAACCCGGCCTGGGAGGCGAGCTTCGCGGTCAGGGGCACAAACAGAGCAGAATGGGCCTTGAGGCTTCCCGTCTTTTCCACTCAAGAGCCCACCCAGGCCGTTCCCACTTCTTAGCCCCTTCCTTCCTTTTCTCATGGGGACATGGAAATTGCAGGCATTGAGCGAGCCTCTAGGAGGTGCCCAGCGATGGGCTGGCACAAACCGGATGTGGCTTCTGCCGCTGTGGGGTTTCCAGTCTGGTTCTGTCCTACCACCTGCTTGCCCCAATTCTGGGCAAGTCTTTTAACTTCAATGAACCTTAGGCTAACCATCTGGGAAAGGGGGAGTAGCACCCACCTCTTGGGGTTACTGTGACAATCGGGGGACAGTGAAGCATCTTGTTAGAGTGTAGACTGTGGACACCAGTTAACTCTCCTCCTGCCCCCACCTTTTCTTTTTACAGCCTCACCTTCCTCCCTGCGTGTTTCCTCTCCCTCTGCTGTCCCTGGCTCTCATCTGCCACGGTGCCCCTGCTCACCCCACCAGCACACAGCGCCCCACTTGGCTCTGTGGGAGTGTGGCCGCAAGTGCCAGCCACCTGCCCTCACATCCACGTCTCCCCTTCCCACTGCACGGTTGCCTCTGGGAATAAAAGACTGCATTTCCCAGGCTCCCTTGCAGTGGGTGTGGACACATGACTGACTTCTAGTCAATGAGTTGTCAGTGGAGCATGGTTTGGGATTTAGGGAAGGCTGGTTAAATGCAACCAACTCCAGGTAACAGGAAGACCCTTTTCTACCCATCTGTTTTATCCTCTTTCCTGTTGCCTGGAACTTGGAAGTGATGTCTGAAATTCTGCAACCGTCTTATCTAAGCCATTAGAATAGGGTTATTTTCTTAGACTATAGTGTGAATGGTGCCCCCTGCACAGCAAATTGGCAGGAAGCAGGGAGATAGAGGAGAGAGATGGCTAATTTTTTTTTTTTTTTTGAGACCGAGTCTCACTCTGTCACCTGGGCTAGAGTGCTGTGGTGTCAGCCTAGCTCACAGCAACCTCAAACTCCTGGGCTCAAGTGATTCTCCTGCCTCAGCCTCCAGAGTAGCTGGGGCTACAGGTGTGTACCACCACACCCAGCTAATTTTTCTATTTTTAGTGGAGACAGGGTCTCATTCTTGCTCAGGCTGGTCTCGAACTCCTTAGCTCAAGTGATCCACCCGCTTCGGCCTCCCAGAGTGCTAGGATTACAGGTGTGAGCCACTGCGAGCTGGCTAATTTTTCAGCTCCCTAGCTCTGTGGTTCCAAACCTGGCTGGACAGGAAAGCCACAGGGAGGCTTTAAAATAAAAAATGATGGCTGGTCCCAACCCTAGACCTGAAACCGATCCAGGGTGGGGCCTGGGAATCTGTCGTTTTAAAAACCTCTCCTGATCAGGTTTGGAAACAGCTCTGAGGGGGTTAACAGGGCAGCGAAGTGACATCAAACTGCACAGAGCACACAGGCAAAGGCAGGGAGCTGCACCCCACTGCGCAAGAGGGCAGTGGGGCCAGAGATGCAACAGATGGTGCACTGCCACCCCAATGACCTCTAAGGCCTGGGCTTCCAGGACCCTGTGGGTGGAGGAGCCAGGGGCTGGGGCAGGGATGAAGCCTCCCCTGAGTCCTCTCCCCCCCCACCTGATGAACTTGTCGAAGACAGCGGCGCAGTCCCGGGGCTCCTGTAGCACCACCTCGCTCTGGTTACTCAGCAGCCCCCTGAACAGCTCACTGTGCAGTCCCAGCAGCAGGCGGTGGGCGTGGAAGACCCGGACCTCGTCGGTGCCCGCAGCCTGCACCCGCAGAACCACGTCGCTGGCATTGCCCTGACGCAGCAGCTCCTGCAAGCGTTGGAGCAGCACCTGGGAGTGGTTGATGGAGGTACCCGCTGCCTCCCCGCCGACATCCGCTCTCTGGGCTGCAGCAGGAAGGAACACAACACAGCCTGAGAAGGCGCCCAGACCTGGGGCCTTGGTCTAAGGGAGCTGAGAGACCAGCTGGAGACACGCGTGCATGGCTGTGACAGAGAGCAAGGTGGGCCGAGGAAGGCTGTGCGTGCACACCTGTGTGTGCCCATGAGCACATCCTGGGTGGGAAGGGTGTGCCAATGCAGACCCTGAGAGGATGCTCTTGGAAAGGGCCGGATTTCAGACAGGGACAGGTCATGAAACAGGTTTGGGACAACATTCCCAGAGCTGGTCTCTATGATGCCAGAACCCCAGGCAAGGCTTGACGAAACTCTTGGTCTCCGCCCCTCTCACCTCCTTAAGAATTGTCCACCTGACCCCTCGGGGTTGTCAGCAGTGGTGCATTCACTAACAGATACTCACTGAGCACCTCCTGTGTGCCGGACATTCTCCTAAGCACTTGGAATATGGCAGTAGCAAAATAAGCCAAGTCCTTAATGCTCATGAAAGCACAAATTGGCATATTAGACAAGTAGTAAGTACACAGATAAGCACTCTAGTTTAAAAGAGCCAGCCAGGGAATGAGCGAGTGTCAAGGCAGAGGAACCAGCCTTGCAAAGACCCCTGAAGGGGGTGGCCTTGGTGTGCCGGGAGCAGAGCTGGTAGGGAGGCCAGAGCAGGGGCAGGAAAGGGGCAGGCGGGAGGCAAGGCTGCAGGCATGGGAGGGAAGCTGTTACCAGGCCTAGCCCTGCCCTCTTGGGTCCTGACCTGTGAGACAGAAACCCGCTTTCCACGGGCCACCTGTGGGGGCTGGGAGAAAGCACAGAGGCCAGGGGTGCTGGCATGGGGCTCTCCGGGTAGCAGGCCGGGCCCTTCTCTCATGCTCCAGGGATGCCAGGACAGTCAGATGGGGATGTGCACTCAGTTACAAAGGCGCGGCCAGCAGCTTTCCCAAGCTCAGGACAGCGAGAGGAGCCTTGCAGGGGGAGGCAGGGAGGGTGCCTGACAGCAGATGGGCCCCGGACACACACACACACACACACACACACACACACACACACACGGGCCCATGGTGAGTGTGGACAGTGGAGAGCTTCTGTGAGATGAGGGGACCGAGGGA